TTCCAATATAGTTGCCTCACTGGCGGGGTCACCGCAGTTGACCTAAGCATCTAGCCGACTATAGGCCCGCCTTGAAATAAAAGCACAATGATATAATACTGCCACTAATAATAATAATAATAATAATAATAATAATAATAATAATAAAGCGTCAAATCGTGGGACTACACCGGCTTCTATACACCGATTTAGGGACTGCTTATTCCTAACGGATCCCATCGTTCACACCGGCTCAGAGCCATTTCTTTACAAGAAGACGAAACCACATGCGAACTTAGACAACATGTCCGATAACGAGGTCAAAGAACGGTTTGTATTCAGGTCAAAAACAAGAAGGGTGGTATATGCGAAAAACCCAAGTAAAAAAATGGGGAATCGCATTGTACAACATAAGAGTAGAAGAAAGGAATTAACACGTATTACTCATAAAACCCACCCAAGACATTATTCATCTTGGCCCTTACAACGGCGGTTCATGAATCACTTCTAGCGTCGTTAAGGTTGGAAATTCCATAGTGTTAAGGCGGGTCATTTGCACATATATGCAAATGCATCACCATAAGGTGAAAAGATCTGTAATCAGATACGGGGGCGAGATGGCCCAGTGGTTAGAGCGCGAATTCACTAACCAAGGGGCGGTGGTTCGAACCCGATCTCCCTCTTGACTTCCCCTGTCTAGGCTTGGGCAACCAGGCAGTATCCCAGCCCTCGTGCTTCCTTCTGTTGAGGTTCTCGCTCAGTAACGTGGGTTGCGGTCGTTCCTTCCGACGACGGTCTTGTGATTCTCATTGGACGTGCGATCACGCGAAACCCATGAGAAAACAAGTCAAGGCAGGCTCAGCAAACAAACCATGAACGGCACATAGTAAGTAAGGTCAGCTGGCACATTCACACAGTTACACAGTGTCGGAAAAGACGGCCTCGGAGGCAAGGTGAGTGGCGGGTACGAATAAGCAAAACAACTGGGGATCAAAAGTACATAGGCAGTGTAAGCAAATGAATTCGGGAATTATCAGAAGGTCAAGTTAGATTCGGTTGAAATTCTCCGTCAAATACCGTGAATTTACAGCGAAGTCATGTCCGCTTTCCAGGTTGAGATGAACTACCACGACAACGACGTTTGAAACTGCACTTTGTACTACTTGGTGCAACTAGGCTTGGTGCTGCTATGACAACAGAGAATCAGGGTTATCAGGTCTTGCCTACAAGGGTTGTACTAACATAGAAGAAATGAGGCTGGTAAAACTACTTACGCGGCTCATCTAAACTAATAACTATCTCCTCTTACAAGACCACTTGCAGCCATGTGAGTTTGTAAGGGCTGTCCAGAACAGATATATTGTGGTAACTCCGGTTTGACAGTGACACTAAGTGAATCACCCGTGACTCTTTTATATCTAGTTTTGTTTTGTTTTGCTGCATATACACAAAGTATGTGCAATTGGTATCAAGCAAAGGCGTGTTCCTGATTCACTTGTCTTAGTGTTTGTTCGTTTTGGTTCTTTCTCTAGTACAAGCCGTTCTTATTTACAGGACCATCCATGGTCTGATCTACAATGCCTTGAAACTGTTCATGGAGATGAATCAGAAGCTATTTGACAGTTGCACACAAAATTATAAAGAAGATCGCCAAAGGTAAGCTGCTGATTTCGTCATGAGAACCGAGTTCTCTTTGTTCACGTCACTACGTTGATTTGTAGGTGGGTAGTGCTATACTTGTGCTCATGTATGTCTTGTTGACCGTGGGGGTGACCTATGATTACGGCTGATCGTTTGAGGGCTCCGCTACGTTAGATAATTGGCGGAATCCGAGGTTGGTCTCCGGGTGACCTCTGACTCAAGGTAGTCATTAGCATATCATCCCCAAGGTTACTTTTGCTGTCAGAGATCCATCCGTGTGATGGTCAGTTTTCTTTGCTTTTCTCTCCGACTACCCCTAGGGAGGTTGGCGTTTAGAGTGCTCAACCGGAGCCTATGACTCCAAAGCCTGACAGGTCGTTAGCGCATTGATGTCGGTGTACTAGCATATTAGCATAAGTTTTCAAGGAACACACTGTCGTATGTTTCGAAGATTGCTTTCGTCTGTTTTATCCGTCGACCCACTTTGTACGATAAACCTGGTGGGTTAAAATGATCCTGCGTCACAGTAAACTCCTCTGGTCCCAGAGGTGCACGTGTAACTTCACGATGATTGTATCCGGTCAGTTTGTCGCCGGGATCAGTCTAATAAAAGACTATCGTGGTCAGCAACCTACATCAGTTATTGTTCCGAAGCATCCAAGATTAGTTATCTAGAGAGGTTTTTGTCATCTACTCTTTCGGCGATATAGATCCCATCAGCAACCGGTATTTAGTGTCATCTGATACGTGTGCCCCGCTTTGTTGATCGCTATTCTGTCCTGCCGGTTCGTTCGTAGAATTTGGGAAGCTAGTGCAATTTCTAATGTCCCTGTGTGTATATAGATCATTTGGGTGCTTCCCCTTGGTTTTGATGAACCGTTTCCTGCAGCATTGGACATCTAGTTAGCTTTGTCTCGTCTTCAACAGCTGAGCAACATATTTCCGTACTTGCCAAATCGCCGGTCGTTTGCTTCCTGTTTGGGCTCCAAAGTCAATCGCCTGCGAATTCCGGGCTTCAGTCATTCGCAGATGTTACCTAACTGACGGTTGTGTTGCGGTGTCCGTACTTTATCATATTTTTACTGCAATCATCTGTCTTGTTCAAAAGAAAAAGTGCTTTCGTATAAAGGTACCATCAATACTTTATTTCCTAGTGCTGTGTCAAGCACCTGATGCAATAAGAAAACTTTCTTCACATTTTTACGGATAATGACGCACGCCCAGGCTTGAATGGTCAAAGTCGTGGTATTGAATTTCGCGCAGTTCTTGAACATTATCAGAACTACTTCACCCTGCTACTGGTTAAGCTCAATTTGCCGAACGCATTCACCTTTTTTCAACTTCATGTTCGTTCCGTTTTTGTTTGATCATTGATTACCCGTCTCTTGTTTTTGTGCTGCGTGCGATCAGGTCATACCGTTTCCATGGAACTCTTTCACTCCAGTCTGCTGAAGAAGTTGCATGTATATAGTGAAGCTTTGACTTGCATGAGTCGGCCAAATAATTTTGTACGAAAATCTTTCCTCGAAGTATCGTAGTGCAACAATTCCTTATATACATATCCACTTACTGCGGACGCCTCTTAGGTTACTGTGGTATTTAACGTCCCACGTGTCCCATCCATGATTGTCAAGTAATTGAACATATGAATTGTTTGCCGTTGAATTTCTCCGTGACTTTGGGGCCCGCACAGGCGACTTGCATAAACTCCAACCAGTTATTTTTTTTAATTATCGCGTCTAATCGTTTGGCAACGGCTGAAGGATTTCAAGCGCTTCAATGTAGCAGTATCCCTACAGTCTACTCTCACATGAACAGCACTAATTGGTTGTAGAAATTCTTTAGGAAGTTTGCTAACAGCAACCGAAAGGTCAGATTATAACATCTTATTCCACTACATTGTTTTCGACCTCAAAAGAATCCATTAATTACTAGAACGCGTTCTAAAAAATTAGTAAATGTTTACACAAAAGAAAGTTGAAGTCGAATGCTCCGCCTCTCCGCTGAACTTCTTTACAGACTATTCTTATGTCGGTGCTACAGTTCACATTCTACGACTATCAGGCTGCGCTGTATTTCACCGTAAAAACCCCATGAGTGTGGCCCTTAACTCGTTCGGCGCATTCGCTTTCTCGTTCCGAACACAGCCTCCTCTACTTCTCCTGATGATCCTAGTCTGTCGACTGTGCATGGTGCTGATTTTTAACTCTTCCTCGCCTCCTACCTCATACCATTCATTTTAAGTAGGATAAAAGTCTACTCAGTTTATTATGCAGACGAACAGCAATATCTGGTATCAGCCATCGTGCTCAGGATCCTATTGATCTGATGCGGCGGACAAACCCCTGGATGGATGCTAGCCTTCCGTCGTTTGCCACTTCACTGCAACACTAATGCTCTACTTATGAAGGCTAGTCAACCGTAAGATCTACGGAGTGTATCTACTGAGCAGGAGGCATAATCGGCTTTACACTATCTCATCTGCTCATGTTTAATAGTGTCTCTGGAGCAGTCATAGCTGCTGCTAGTGCGCCTCGCGTTTTTTTAGTGGCGCCATTCTTACGGCTGTAGCTAGCTGACCCATAATGCCATCCCACTATATGCTCAGGAGTCGGGAAGAAGCTAAACGACGGGAGCGGATATGGGCCTCACTTCATCGAACAGCTCAGGCCAATCCGCTCTATCCAGTGATCATGAGTTCGGCCAATCAATCGGATCCTGGATCTGAGCAGAATTATTCAGACCGAAACGACACCGGTGGGGCGAGTTGCGGTATTAGCACCGCTGGCCGAACCGGGGCGATGGGCGACTATAACACCCGCGAATTCGATGGTGGCATCGATTCTGGTGTCGGCGCAGATGACGGTGTACTTGGTACGGACGAGGACGTCACCAGCTCTTTGCGACATCTGAAACAAGAAGCGGAAAGTGATGTAAGTCATGAAATTGCCTTTTGGACGATACACCGGACATCCACCTCGTCGGATTCTTCTATCTTTCCTGAAAATGTTTGGCTTAACTTAACAAGCCTTCTGTTTTGAGTATACAACAAAAGGATTGGTTCATTTAACTCTTTTGAGTTTAAAATGTCATCTTTCCTGACCTCAGTAGCAACTCTAGACGAAAACGAGAATTAAAAGTAAAACTCCCGTTAACTACGTGCAGGATCACATCTCTGAAGGTGCCGTCATGTCTTACGGGAATTCAGCAGCTCAATTTCTATTCTCAACACGAATAGTCTTAGTTTACGTGGGGTGAGTATTAGTGTATCCTCCTTATTCTCAATGGTCTTTGTTAGCTATATTAATTTTTGGTTGATATTTGTAGCGATTGCATATGGGAAATGGCGAGTAGGAAATATTCACTCTGAACACTCGCTATATACCGACACAACTGATGTTTCTTACCATAGAAGCCTGAGCTTACCAAGCAAACGGTTGCTTCCCATTGCCAATGAAGCCAATAAAACACATGCATTGAAATGATACTCTGCGATTTGTTGAATTTCACAACCCCCCCCCAGCAGTGTTCAGCGTCCTTCCTCTTAGTATATTCTCACCTCCAGTACATGCTCCAGTGGTCGAGAATCACCGAGCGTTTGATATTTCTGATAAACTGCGCAAAGTGATGGGCCGACCACTTGTTTTTCGTATGTAGTTTATTCACCATTGTACATATACCAATGATTTTAACATGTATGTGGAACAGATTGCACATCCCCATTTACTTAGTCTCAACACTGGATGTTTTCAAACGGTGGGGCGATTCGAAAAATTGGAATACAATGCAAAATAACTTTCCGGCTGCATGGGATAAAAGTTTTGACGCGAATACTATAGGTCTGGTCAGAGCGCAGCTCATATGTTGACAAAACGTTCTGGGGCTCACCTTTTTTCATTGTCTCCCTGCTCAGAACTGGCACCATTCCAGGAGTTAGGAAGCAATAAGTGGGCAGTCAATCCTAAACTATCCAAACCAGAATAGTGAGAGCAGCTTCAAATAAAACTGAAAATTCTAGTTAGCGAAACACAACAAGGTTCATTGGACACTTTGCATGTTCATCATCATCAAGGTGAGGCCACCATACATCTTGATCAACATACAGTTGTCCAGGTGGAAGCAACCTACTCACTGTAACGCCAGAGCTTGTATTGGTTGATTATTGTTAGGGTGTAGCTTTCATACTCAGAAAAAACCGGAGCTTATTTCTATAAGTTGAAAGAACCTCTGAATCGTGAATAGACATTACTAGTTGTTTGATGCTCCTGGTTAGCAGCGCGTTTATCGCGCACAGGTTTTTTTATTCCTTCCTGCCATGATCCTGTTTCTTGTACCCAGATACCGTTATGTTTGGTTCGGTTAGTGCTTATTCCGGGCCCCAAATGCGTTGAAGGCTGTTGGACAGAGATCCAAGGCGACGGCAGTAAAGGTTATCAACGCACTGTAGGACAAATAAACAGTCCTTTATTTATTATATCAACCTCCACGGTGAAGAGTGTACGTAGCAGAATCGCGCTCCGTTTAAGATGTATTGAAGTACGTAGACACTATTTGCTGTTGGTGCAGCTTCGACGGCAACCGCACAGTAAGCAAAAAGCAGGCGACTAAATGATTTCGCTTGCAGCATGATAAAACGATTTCACTGAGACAATGTAAGCGGTATAGAGGGGCTTCACGTCAATGGTATTTTAATCTAGTTTGGATATTACTGTTACATCAAGGTTAATTTGGTATTGCGAAGGTATTGGAGGATGTTTCCCCGTGCATTTATTAGGCATTATTTTTTCGTCCACAGTGTCTTTAGCCTTATCAAACCCTTCCCTCTTTTAGCCGCTTCTAAGTTGTTTTAATGATTTTGTTGTAACTCTCCTGTCCTAGTCGCCAACTTAATTCCTTTTGCTTGCTCCGCTCCTTGTCTCCATAGTCAGTCGTTTGTTTCTTTCACTTGTCCGTCTGTCGATGTCTCTCTTATATAGCCTAAACTCATGGGTATGATAAACGAACGTCGCCGTGAAACTCCTCCTATGGTTTGTCGCAAATCCGAACTCCCACAAAATCAGTCTACCCTCCGCGCGTTGGAGCAACATAAGCGCCCGGACGAATATTTGAAGACCCAGCCGGATAATTAATACTACTGGTGATAATCGATGGATCAAGTTTTTTAGACGCGTACCCGTTGCTTTTCGAATGCGAGGGACGTGTAGAGGTGGGTGACCAGGATTACATCCGCTTCATTTCACTTCCTTTTCTCCCGCATTCCATAGTCCAGACTGTACAAGTGATCACACCTTTTCTCCATCTCCTCAAATTGTTCTCACTCACGGTTGCCTGCTCAAGCCAACCTCCACCGTACAGTTGTTTTCACTGAGTACCCATTTATCCTGCATGGGTTCGACAGAGCCCTGCTCGGAGTCACTGAATTTATGGTTCTCGTCTCCAACGACCCAATTCCAACCGGGTCGCGAGAACAAATGGTGTATTTCATGTAGTGCTCCAGAACCATTTTTGCTCGGCCTAGCATGCTTCCTTTCCCCTTACTTTTGTTCTCCAGCACCTGACTTGTATTTCCACATCACCATTAGCACTGTCTTGTGAAATACCCTTTATTGATTCATGCACAGTTCTTCTGTCCTGAAGCGGTCTGTTAAACACAATCTGTGCGACAAATCGGGCATATTGCTTCCGGTCCGCTGAATTTCCTTATTTGGTAACTTCCTATGGATCGTCGTAGCATTCACCCTTTCCTATTCTCATTTGCTTCCATTCCATCCTTTCGCAGTTCCGTTTCCTACTGTACCTCATCTGCGGTTGACAGACAGCCACACACATCAACGTCATCCTCTTGCTTACAGTTCTAACACTGTTTGTGCCCGTTCAGGTTTCCAGTCTGATTCGTGCTCCTAGTCCGAACTCAGTTTCACTCAGGTTGTAACCGCATGTCTCTAATTTAGTGAAGTCATCCATCTTCAGATACAGTTGTGTATTTTGGTAGTGTTCTTGTATGCACAGAAGGGTAACGCCACTCCAACACATTCGCCTATCCCTTCCCTCCGGTTTCTGCCGTTCAGGGACACAAGATACTCCAGTAAGCTCCCCCTTACGATGATATTTCAGTTGTGGTATGTATCCCATAAACTTGCGCCCAGCCTCTGCTTTCCATCCTGTATCCCACCGGTGTCATGCATTTGACTATTTCGTGGACACTCCACCGCGGTACCAATGAGTTGTGTCTTATTAGCCTTTCTATTTGTACGCTGTTCATAAGAGTTCGGGTATATTGTACATTTTGTGCTGATTGCAGTTTTTTCTCTTGGGAGCTTATCTTAAATTTGAAGAGCCTCGGTCGATTTGAGGCCGCATTCGTCCGTAGTCATATTGGTCACCTTTGAATCACCCAGATATCTGTTTCACATCGTTTCAGAACGTTTGGAGAGCTGATAGTCAACATATTTACGCTAATCAGCCCATGGACGACGCAGTTATAGGCACAACCTTCTAACTGCAGGCCATGTGTTCTCAATTTACATGTGACCTTTCTGTTACTCTTATCGAGGTCTGTGTGACTGGATATCACATCAGCTGTCGCTCTTTCATGCGTCGCAGCGGACAAAAGACCACTGCTCAGCATCTCGTTCGGTTCACCGTACACTACTCCCTCTTTATGAGAGACACCACGAAAAAATAAGTTTCAGCATTCGCCATTGTTTGTATTGTGAACACAACACTCCTTTCTCATGTGAAACAGGCATTCAAGTAGTGCTTTAGATCGAGCAGATGACACTTCATCTCTGCACCTGGAATGAACCAGGTGCTACTCATACAAGACACGGTGAATCACCGTCAGTTTGTGGTGACACAAGCACACATCATTTTGAAGTGACAGTGGACTAGTTTTACTGATGCCTTTCGCCCTCCAACATGGTTAAGCTTTTGCGTCTCAGCAGGTCGCCAGCAAGATTGCAAACGTGTACGTTGTTTGCCATTATCAGGCAGGAACTAATAGAGGGAAGACTCAAATGCCCAGAAAAAGTTGGCGGTTGCATGAAAATGCTTCTTTGTGAAGCTGTCGTCCTCTAATCGAAAAATAGCTGAACATGAACGTTAGCATTGTAGGACATTGAGTGTTGCTGCTACATGGTTCACCTTCGGTTGACCCAAAAATATCTCCACAGGGTGGTTTCCTCGTGGGCTGGTGACTAATAAGAACTGTACTAAACGTTGATTGCACTATTCTGATGAGTCGCCGATTTGTGCCCGGACATCTGAGATGGTGCATAATTTGCCAGTTTCAACTCAAGTGACTGTTCAGGGGGTTCATCAATGGGCGTAGGTGGATGTAACACGGTAACCCCGCATAACTGTCGTTCACTTAATTCATTGCGAACCAACAAACAAGGTAATCTTTCACAAAGGCGCAGTTCAAACGGTAATACCTATTGGTAACTAGATAAATAGTATATCATAACCCTGCTATCCAGTCTTAATGTTCCCAGTGGGCATTTCACTTGTGAAGGGTCCCAACAAAAATCTTGAGTGCCCTACTGTCTGCTATGTTAGATCCGGTCAACAAGTGGTAGTGGTGACTTAGTGTATTAACTGTGCTCATAACATCTATTTCGAATGCCCGCTTCGCCAGTGGGTTAAATCATCTATCTCGGAGACAAGTAGATGTGCACCTGTGATTTTGTGAGGATTTTTTCCTCTATTGGTACCAACGGGAAAAAAACCACACCAGTAATACTTGCTACTTGACGGAGGTACTTCCTCATCGAGGCAGAAGTGCTCTTGTGACTATGGGACTGGGTACGGTGTCACAGCACTATCTCTTTCACTATTACATATTGCGTTATAGCAAGCCGAAGTATTTCCTGTTCTGTTATGTTCTGCCGCGTATACTACAACCGCTCAAGGTTTGCCAGAGGATGGTGGCTCCACACAGCAAGACTGAACTATTTTTGTTTGCCAGCATACAAAAACAGCTCACACTTGCCTTCTGAATTCACACCTCAACAATATTGGTTAGAGCTTATTTGCCGTAGGTCAGGAGGCATTCGACCTGATGCCCAGTGCAATGCTTTTGCCACAGGGCACCCGAAAACGTGAAGACCGAAGTCGTTGAAAACAAGATACATTCAGAAATTGCGTACTGTAGGTACAATAATAAAGTATTTGTGCAAACTTCAGACGTTGAGAATCTTCATCTCGGAATTTTAACTCAAAATCCAGATTAAGAACTCAACTAGCGGGATGTGGTAAGCCAAAACGGTCATAATGTTAAATGAACCACTCGGCTGAAAGTTGGAGTCATTAAACAATTATCAACAATTGAAAGCGACTCACGTCGATTGAAAAATGGTCGTAGCTTTGGAGAGATTTCACCATTGGGCCACTTTGTCTGTACGTAATTCATAACTTCCAATAAGACTTCTTCATTGATGGTATTTTCACGAATTGTCTCAGCAGTGACTGGTAATCTTCTGACGCTTTCAATCAGGATCTGATGAACTTCGGACTCGAATTTAGTGGCTGCGATCACACAGTCATCATTTTCTCTTGGATATGATTTGATGAGGCGAGACAAGGCATCTGCTTGGCCGATTTCTTGCGTTGATCGGTACTGAATGGTAAAATCATAGGCTAACACTATGGTGCAGACGATTTGCAGTGAAAACAGGAATCCCTTTCTTTGCCCCAAATATTGATAGCAGTGGTTTGTGATCAGTAAGCAGCGTGAAGTGTCTTCCGTAAAGCATCTTATGGAAACGTTTCACAGCAAAAACGATGGCTAGAGCCTCTTCTTCAATCTGGCTGTAATTTTTCTCAGCTGCTGTCAATGACCGCGCTGCATGGGCGATAGCCTTCTGTTGTCCTCCGAGTAAAACATGGGAAATCACAGCTCCAATGCCATAATTGGAGGCGTCCGATGCCACTATTATTTCCAGTTCTGGATCAAAATGTGTCAAGAGTAAATCAGAACTGAGGGCTGTCTTGACTGCATCAAATGATTCCTGACATTCTTTCGTCCATTGCCACTCTTTTCCTTTCACTAATAACTGGTTCAGCGGACCTCTTGTTTGATGAAGGCTCGGCAAAAAAGTGCTGTAATGACTGACGAGGCCAAGTAATGATCGAAGTTGCACAACATCTTTTGGGGGCACCATCTGCTTGATAGCCTCAATATTGTCAGGATCAGGACGTCGGCCACGCTTGTCAATGATGAAACCAAGAAATTTGACACTGTGCATTGAAAAATTACACTTCTCCGTTCGTAAACGGAATCCTGCTTCTTTCAGACGTGAGAAGACCTTATCCAATGTACCCAGCAATTCAATGGGATCTGAGCCCATAATTAGGGCGTCATCCAAATATACTGCGACACCAGGGATGTCATGGAGAAGCGTGTCCATAATTTGTTGGAAAATGGCTGGTGCAGTTTTCACTCCGGATGGAATCCTGTTATACTGGAAGAGTCCCAGGTGTGTGTTGATTGTCAGATATTTTCTTGAATTTTCAGCCACTGGAACTTGCAGATATGCATCCGCGAGGTCTACCTTTGCAAAACACTTTCCACCGTTTAACCTTGTGAACAAATCTTCAGGTACTGGTAATGGGTACTCATGGTTTTCCAGCATGGAGTTTAGGCCTGTTGAAAAATCAGCGCAAATACGTACCTTGCCGTTTGTCTTCTTCACAACCACTATGGGTGTAGCCCATTCTGAATAGTTGACACGTTCAATTATGCCTTCGGATTGCAACCGACTGAGCTGCGTATGGAACTGGACGTTTGGGGACGAAAACTGGCTTTGCATCTGGTTTGAGATTTAATACTGCATGGGCGATACTGCAACAACCCAAGCCTGGTTTGAACAGTTCTTCATGGCGCCCTTTCAGTTCTGCAATTTGGTCAGGAAGTTTTATGGTTGAAGGGGATGATTCTAATAATCGCTTGACATGTGATTTACTGCAAATATGATTGATCGACTCGTCCAGTAGATCTAATTCCTCCATCCAGTCGAGTCCCAGTAAATCCAATCCAGGGTGATCCGTCAGGAAGCACATTGTGTGAACTGATCGGTCACCAAAACTGACCTCACAGTCCAATTCGCCAAACAATTTCAAGATGTCTCCGGAGGCATTTCGTGCCGAATGAGTGGTGTGGGCGAACATCGGTTGACCCAGTTTGTGCCACGTGCTTTTTGAGATTAGTGTGATGTCGGAAGCCGTGTCCAACTGTAACGTGGTTTCTCTGCCGTTGATTTTCACCGTTACGTATTTACGCCTGCTGGCACCATCGACTTTGAAGGTAGATGTTATGGTTCTGGTATGGTTGGTACGTCTGAGTGATTTCGTCTTCTTGTGGGCGCTTCTGCTTCTGGTTGCGCTATTCGTCAAGCAGCAGATTTCCTTGTGACCCTTTCTGCCACACCGGTTACAAATGTGATTCCTGAAGGGACAGTTCCGTGCGAAATGCAAAACCAGCATGCTGAAGGAGGTACAGACTGTGATGGACTAACATGCACAGAATCAGTTCTCGCTCGATTGACCGCACAGATCAGATCGTCATTGCCATCGTTGGACGATCGTTGAATCATTGATGTATCGTGTTTCAGATTCACCATGCGTACGCATTCCGCTGTCATCTGCTGTAGTGTGACTTCAGGGTTCTGTTCGATTTTATTCAGTAACCTGGTCCGAAAATCTGCATCCTTTGTTGACTGTAAGCCACAGACGTAAATGAGGCACTTGTATTGGTCACTGGTCATTTTGTGAAAATTTGACCGTTCACACTCTTTATTCACACGACTTGAATAGCTGACCCAGTCCTCGTCGTCTTTTTTGCACATCGTGAGACATTTGTAACGGATATTGAAAACCGATGTGGATTCTCCAAATAGTTGAGATAATACTGTGACCACTTCAGCGAACTTTAGATCCGTACACTTCTTCGGAAGAATAAAGTTCAAAAACTTTTCGTGCTCAGCCGCGCCCAATTTTCGAAGCATGAGCCGAATTTTCTTTTCTTCTAGCACATTAGCCAAATCAATATGAAACATATCTTCATATTTATGGAACCATGATTCGAAAGTTAACCCAGAATCAGCATCATAATGGAACTCACTGATATGCTGCGTCAGAGACTCCGGTGAAGGAACGTTGTCTGGTGCTGCTGATATTGCGATTGCCTGCTTTGAAAAATTTTGCGACAATGTCTCGATCAACTTTGCTTGATATTTTTCAAATTGTGCTTGCGATTTTTCAAACTGCGCCTGTTGCTGTTGCGGTAGAGC